TGTAGCAACGCATCTGACGTTTTAGATGAGTTAGTCTGTATTCTTGTTTCAGGATAGGTACCTTTTACAACGATACTCTTCACAACCTCTCTTCAGCTCATGCTGTTTGCCTAGTGCAATACTGTTTTAGAAAATTTACATCAGTAGATATTTAGGCTCCACTGGATCCTCATCTTAACACAAAACGGGCAACGAACAAATACTTTAATATATAGATACACCCTTACATCTCTTTATTTATAAAACCCAAAAACATTTTACACATTACAAATCATATTTAATTCACTAATTAAACTTTAATGAAAACAATGGTGTTAAAAATATATACAAAATGTGTATTTTATACTAATTCAAACATAACTAAATAATTCTTGCAAATGTGTCACGAAGACATGTTATGGGTAGTTATTTTCGTTCTTTTTATTAATACGATATCAAGCGAAAATTATAATGACCGTTTCATCAGATATGCACTAATTTTACGGACAAAATAAACAATTTTAGCTCAGTAAAGGTGCTATATTTATATATTAAAACATTTGACAACGCCAAAGAGAGCCTACTATCAAAATATTGCATGTGGTAACTTAATGATCGTAAATAATAATTAATTGCTGCCTCAATAATAAGAAAATCAAAATGGTCTTAATTTAAGAAAAAAAAATTAACAAACTCTTGTTTCCTCCATAACAATACATATTCCATTGAATGGATAAATTCAACTTAATTCATACTTTCAAAACTCATCAATGGTGAAAAAACAAAAATTACCACATTCTGCATTACCCTGCCTTAAAAATAAAAAAAAATACATACGATTAGATGGCGATACGAATAAGCAATGGAAGAGGACGTGAGCAAAAGAAATCACACAATATGATACAGACAGACAAAGTCGTCGCTTCCCGCACAAAAGCGGCAAACGAGCGGTCCTTTCCACTGTCACAATCAAATGCCGAAAAGAAAAGTATAATTAATAAATTGTACCTATGCTTTGTATATACTCTAATTTTTTTTTACATTTTAATAATTTAAAAAAAAAACAACCAGCACTTGGTCGAAAGATTTACATCCATATTTTTTTTGTGTATTTTATATTTTGATGAAATATTTATATAAAGCTAATTAACGTGAGCCGATGTCAGGATTCATAGCAAGTCGTCGTTCGCCCGAGCCGAGCGGCCCGAGCTGTTAAACACCATCTGTACACTATAACAATGTCCACCTTCATATGTACATCGCGACTCGTAATGCACTGATACCGGAGGCCGCGCCCCCACCTCCTCCTCCTCCTCCCCACACACTACTCCCCCATATACACTTTCGTAGCAATTTAAAAAAATAAAACACTAAGATTATATCCCTTAACGCGCCTAAGCTACTAATTCGTATTCTATTTACAATGACATAATACATAGTATTTAATTGTTCGGTAAGACGTCTCCGATTGGACATCGGATGCGACGGCACGCTCGAATCGATATACGGTTTAATTTACATCAAAAATTTACAATATCTTTTGATCTGAATACATAATAATATATTATCAATGGACCACATATAAATATAACGTAATTCAGCCGACGGCCGCCCCGAGCCGAGAGACGTGCAATAGGCCCGCATTCGTTACCACATTATGCATAAACACGTTCACAACTGCACTGCCACATTTTGTTAGTATTCATTTCTATAACTATTACAATTTTATGTCGATATATATAAAGCACTAAATATTTATCCTAAACTGTACAATGGACTATTATAATATTTCATTGAGATTTTAGCTTTCGTATAAACATGTCAAAATACAAATATCTCTCGTTCCAAATCTCTTAATAACATAATAGGTAACAACAGAGCAACATTTGACATTTCGATACACTGCCTTTGTGACAGAATATTATCATTACGTCATTAAATACATCCATTAGTTTTAAATTGAGAGAGAATTGTTGGTACGACTGCTAAAAAAGTTCGCAACCACTGTGGGCGACAAGGAAACTTTTAAATTTTTGTTATAGCGATATTAGCCGTCATGTCTTGTCCTTGTATGCACGGAGAGTCAGCGTTACTTTTTATAATTTCATATAAATTTAAATAAGAGAAACCAATCATAAATTGGACAAAAATGGACATAGATTCACAAATTATAATAGTATGAAAAAGGAGCTAGAATAGTAGCTTTACATAGCTAAAGATATAATCGGAATAAATATGTATATTGGATAGTACGAACTTAGAAATATTATTATGAATACAATTTGTATATAAGGTGACAAATAAGTAAGCCACCCTTTGTCCATAGACATTCGCAATTATAGAGTTGTTGTCTACCTTTGTTAAATTTAAAGGAAAAATAAGCAATTCCATAGAGAAAATGGGTTAGAAGGAGGATTCATTTAATTTGTCAAGATACGTTGACTGTCCGGCATATTATAGGAAAGATACTCGTATGTCTGTCTCGTGTGCATCAATTGACAAATGGAATGCAATAGACAATAATAATGTCAAACTTTAACAAACCCATAGAGAACAAGATGTTCACAAAACGAACGAATATTTGCACTAGCGATACTCCTCCGCCCAACACAACAACCATCCGCGCCTTATACTACTGGTAACAAACAACATTTCAACGGCTTATATAATATATACCTTTATGTATATAAACAAAATTACAGATTAAAAAAATGATATTAATTTTGATTTCATTATTTCCTCATTATCGTATTAAAATAAATAAGAGAATACACTAAAAAGACAAAATTTACTTTCAACTAATATCAAATATAACTATAACATTGAGCATTTAAATGAGTAAAGTGTAAAACAATAAGAATCCGATGAGCAAAAGGGCACTTTGCTTAAATTGACAGAACTTTACCAACAAACACCCTTCCCATACAAAATTGACCGTCACACCAGGAGGAATAATTTCAAACGTTACTTTGACACATTAATTGACAAAAAATCAAACGAAACAATTCATTAACAAGGTTTCGTAAACCTAATATATTAATGCTATCCATTTACAATAATATACAATAAATTTCGTAACTTTTATACATTCGATGGAAACAATTTCAAGATGGCCGTTATTAACACAAAATTATCAAAATAAACATAATGCGAAATGTAGAAAACGCAACAATTTCCTTTAAATTAATCACAACACTAAAGAACACAATAAATCCAAATAATAAAGCAAAGAAATAATAGTCACATTTCCATAACATCTGCCTTAAATGAGTGACGTCATGTGCAGTGACGCCATCACTCAAGTCCCATGTTACGGTACACGCGTTAGCTGCATTTTCCACTTTCGCATACAGTTAATTTTTTTTTAAAGAGTTGATCTTGCACATTGCGTTTAAGAGTTCAAAAATCATAGCTACTTAATGCTAAAACATTTCTTTTTCAATATGGACGTTAGTTTTAGGACAAAATACATAAGACGGCTTTATATACATTTGGGCTATCATAATTCTCCTTCAAGGAATTATTTAAATTGTGATTTTTTTCATTTGTGATGAATTTTTGATAATTTAGTTTATAATTAGATGTTTGCAGGACTAAGCTGTGAAGTTCAATTTGCAAGAAAAAGGGGGGCTTCGAATTACTTTTCTGGGCAACATCTTATTTGTGAAATCAATTCATGGTAAAATTAGGGTGTTGATTTAGTACCAAATTTTTTGATATACAGCGCGCTACAGGATGTTCCTCTACATATGTGCTGTAGAAAGAGACAGCAAGATTTTGAATTCTTATATCAGACAGGGAGGGAAGCTATCGCATGTGCGATTTAAGAAAAAAATATTTTAAAAGATGACTAGCCCAAATGTAGAATAAAAAATAACTACGATTTGATTAATTAATTGTGGTGTGGAGGGTAGTTCTGAAGGGGACCAGAATAATTACTTATTTCTAGTGGATGATCAACACTGGCCGGTCGTTTCGAGACGTTTCATTTCGCAATTAAAACTAATTAAACATCATAAAATCTAAATAATTTTGGCAAAATGTATGACAATTAGTTGAATTCGTCGAGTTATTCTCGCTATAGTTTCCAATTAATTATATATATTAGAATAATAAGTACGATGTCAGATATTTTGTGACCGATTGGGACATAGACAAGCAGGAATAACTCGACAAAACATTTCAAAGGATAAATACAATATGTTTCATAACTATTTTATCAACATAAAATTAAAAGAATTCATTAAACTACAAGTAATAATAAAAATTTAACAAATCGTAATAATTACGCGTTAAATTACTATTTACAAGCGGGGGCAAGATGCGAAGTCGAACGTCCAATCTGAATTAAAATGGATGGAAATTAAAGGGACGATTTTACGGCTAATATATTATAAAAAATGTCAATATAATTGTTTTCAAAGGCCGATAAGTCTTTCGAATTGACTTGTAAAGAATATTTACGTTGATGTATGGCATTTTATGTACACCATGACACCGACGACCGGCAGCCACACTACGTACATTGCAAGAATAATCAACATTTACAGTCATACATAATAAATATACCAAATTATAGATTCCAAAATATTATGATTTTAATGATAAAAAAATATCGATATTAGAACAAGCTTAAAAACCAATTAAGGGCGTGCATTGTATTTTATATAAATAGCGATTAATAATTGCACAATACGCGTCTTAGAATTTTATAATAAACTTATAGGCACAAAATGTTCATTAAACATAATGGAAGAACTGACAATAACTAAAAATAATACGAATAATCTGGATACATAATGATATCAAACTGTCAAACTAATCTAAATACTACAACCTCCAGAAACAAACATCGATACACGGAAGAATATTGCCGAGGAGGTCATGACCAGCTTTTGTATATGAAGGAAGGCTGTAAGTCTGTGTCGGCGCAGTTGGCGCAGTGTTGACGCAGTCGGTGTGTAGTCGGTGCGCAGTGTTGGCGCAGTGGGCGCAGTGTCGGCGTGTGGTGGGCGGGGCGCGGGCGGGGCGGGGCGGNNNNGGCCGGCCACTAGAGGCAGCGGGCGGCGCACGGGGAGCGCGAGTGTCAGTACGCCTGCGTCGTGCTCGCCGCCGACACGCGCTCCGGTTTCAAATTGCGCTAAAAATATACACAATTGTAATTCACTTTTAATTGCGACACTAGAATAGAGATAAAATTAATAATTTGACAATTTAAAGTGCAACATGCAATCATAGTGTCCAAAACAATCAAATTCAACAATTACACATTACATATACAAAATACACATGAAGATTTCATCAATTTTACAACAGACAACGCGGTGCTACTACAAAATGATTGAATTGCAACGATAAGTGCATAAAAACGATATAAATAGTGACCTATATCTACCTCATTCATACAAATACTACTCAAACATTACACAAAAAACTAACTAATGGAGTGAACAAAGAGATAATTTTACACTACAATAACAAAATGTACATTCCCAATAAAGTGTAGCACGCCGAACTTACAGGCAACTCCTTTAAATGTGATACAGACTTGAAATAGCAACGGAATTTATACTTTTATTGAAATTGTCAAAAATAAAGTCAGATAAATTTCTCATAGAAAAATCTGACTTAATTTGTCAATAATAACAACTAAATTCTATTTAAATAATATTATAAATGCGAATTTTTAGATGAATGGATGTTATTAGGTATCCGTACAGCTAAATGGATCCCGCTGAAATTTGGCGTAAACGAAGAATATAGTCTGGAAGAACACGAATGCTATTTAAGTTTTCTTAATACCGCGTGGACGGAATCGCGCGTGATACCTAGTTAATAAATAAAAATACAAAGTATTAGCATGGCCTTGAAATGTTCAAAAATGTTTTTTGACAGTATTATAATTAAAGTAACGTGTTGAGAAAATATTGCGAATTATAGCGGACGAAACTTTTCCAAGATCAAACAATAATCAACTTGAGCATTAATGTATTTATCAAGCAAATAGCTTTTAGTAAGTCTTGTCTTCATAGAAATTAGTAAGCAAATACAGGGCAAACAGATGAGCCGTCACTAAGTGAGAGAAGATCCCACAATTATGTGGTGATGAATACTGTGAGTGGTGATGGTGATGTGTAACTCACCAGCTGGTCGTACTGCTGCACCATCCGCTTGATGTGGTTGAGCTTGCGATGCAGGTAGTTGACGCGCCGCCTCTCGCGCTGGTACGCGGTGTTGTTGCGCACGCGCTGGTACTCCTCTACTATGCGCTGCTCTATCGACTGCAACACGTAACATGTTACCTCTAAACATAACACATCCCTAACTGAAAGAGTCGGGTAAATATTAAAACTTCTAGATATTTCATATTTCCATTTAAAATAATTCTGACCCATTTCTTTTGATTTCGTAATTTATCTGATAAGTGTAAAGGTTGTATGCGTATGCGTGGACACTGAGTGTGTAAACTGAGCGTGTATACTAAGTATGTAATGTGTACACTGATTGTGTATATCATGTGTGTAATGTGTACTGACCCTGCGCTGCGGCGAGGCGGGCTCGGTGCGGCGCAGCTGCTGCTCGAGCTGGGAGAAGAGCGCGGCGACCTGCGCGACGCGCGCGTACAACGCTCTGTACTCCGTGTACAACTCGGAGAACTCCTGCTTGTACGCGCGCCGCGTGCCTGAGCTCGCGATCGCCGGGTACTGCCTGTACACAATACACACTTATTTTTTATACATTCGTACACAATACAGAGGTGAAAACCAACACGGTTTTAGTGTTAGATATTATTTGGTGCGGTCATTCAATTTCTGGAATATTCTATATTCTACACATGCATGGTTCCAAGTGCTCTTGATATGATATTAGTAAAATATTTTTGTCTATACTTTTCTCCATTTTGAGTTTTATTGATAGGTGACTTGAAAATGATTAAACAAACATTGCCCCGACTGATTGTATGAGTTTGATTAATTTTGTCTCCACAACTAAGATACACACAGATCAAAACATGCAAATAAGATCGAAATTGGACGAATAATAAAATTATATTAATATAATGCAATCAAAAAATACTTTATAGAATTATTAATTATTTTCTCTGCCTTGAATTGTGACAATTTCGATAATAAATCTCACCTTTCAATATCTACCAAATCAGTCATATTCTCATCAGGTACAGACGTTAAATCTGTAGTTTCTAATTGTTCAGTATTTGTGATGTCTTTTTCTGAAAAATAAAAAAAATAAAAAAAATTAATAAACCGCCTGTCCATTTCCGATCTAGACCACAACATACTAAATACTAATCAAGCACAATAAGAAACTATAAACTTGATGATATAAGTACCATTTGAACTTATTTACGTCATAATCCAACAACAATGACGTTGTTGGATTATGACGTAGTTATCTCAAGTACTATGTTATTGTGCATGCTTAGTTAAATACAGGACATGCTTTATTCCATTCATTTCTACTACAAATGTATAACATTAGTGCAAATACTAAACACAACATATAAATGTGAACATATACATTTTAAACACATACATTATTACATAACACAAACTTATACATGTGCAACATATATAACTAGATTGTATATGATTTAAATAATTCATGAATTTTATTTGCATTACTATGTGCTACATAATTAAAAACATTAAATAATATAAATATGAAATAAAATAAGTAAATCTAACTATATATTATAAATGCGTATGTTGGTTTAAAGTTATCTCCAGAATGGATGTATGGATCTCGCTGAAATTTGGCATACATATAAAACATAGTCTGGAAGAACACATAGGCTACTTATTAAGTCTTTTTTTTAATTGTCCGCGGACAAAGTCGCCGGCGACAGCTGTTAAATCCATAAAACATTAACAATTTTACCTGTGATACTAGTTTGCTCTACTGTAGGACTATTTCTGAAGCCGTTAGGTTTCACAGGACTGGGACAGAGATCCTTCACCGTATTGAAGTTGAGAGTGTAACCATTATCCTTTTTAACTGAAATAAAAAAAATAAAAAATGTACAAAACAAAAAATAAACCGTGAGATCAACTGGTTATCTTGACCTCAGATACTAAGTAAACTTTAATTATGAGTTGTAAACAAGGAAACTGCTAATTACAAGGAAAATATTAATGACGACACATCTTGACTTATAAAATAATTTCAAAAGAGGCGTATGTACACATTTTCCTCTTTAGTGCACTATTAACTTATTCTCGAGACTTTTCACGCGTAAATATTATAAATAAAAACTTAAAAAGTAGCTTGTGTTCTCCTAGACCTAGACTGTTCTACATCTATGTCAAATTTTAGCGAGATCCATACAGTCGTTCTGGAGATACCTTCAAACAAACATCCATCCATCTAAACATTCGCATATTAGTAAGATTAGCTTTTGCCCGCGTCTCTTCTGCTCAGAATTAAAAAAAAAACCTTAAATAGTAGCCTGTGGTCTCCTAGACTATGTTCTACATTAATGCCAAATTTCAACGGGATCCATGAAGCGGTTCTGCAGACAAACATACATCCATCTATCCATCCATACGTCGAAACATTCGCATTTATAATATAAGTAAGATAAATTATCGTAGTATATTATACATAATATTTTTTTCTCATACTAAACACAGGGTGTGTTGTTTATCTGATTTTAGTATATGTACTAACCATTGGTCCTGTCATCCTCGTTGTCGGAGGCGTGTCGTTCACCGGAGGAGGTGGTCGCGTACCCGGAGGAGGGCGGGGAGGGGCGGCGGTAGTGGGAGATGCGCTTCTTCTTTGCCGCGGGCGTGTCCTCGTCCCCTGCGGGCGCGCGCTTGCCCCCGCTCCCCCCACTCCCGCTCCCGCTGCCGCCGCTCGCGGGTGACGCGCGGGGTGATAGAGAATTGGCCGAGTCGCTGCTTAGAGGCGGCGTTAGATTTTGAGGTTTCCGCCTGGAAATACACAAAAGTCAATCAAAGCTTAAAAAACATTACAATGTGTGAAAGAATAGCCATCAAGTGTATCACATTCTTTGATCAGTGCGGAAAGTAATTGACACTCTAACAGTGAGTTTCTGAGACCAAAATATTCGTTTAAAATATGTTCTCTCTGTTATGTTTTATTGGTCTCAGAAACCCATGATAAAGGTCGTATACAGTCAAATCTTGTATCCTATATAAAGCACCATATTAGTTATTCCACAAATAAATTCTTCATTGCAATTTATATGTATTTTTGTTTAGTTGAAAACGTTCGTTATAAAATACATATGTTATAAGGTAAATCCTGACCTATTGACGTCAATTTACTTTATGATTAACATCCTCTTTTAATATAAAGTTAACAATGCTAATAAATTGCATATAAATAATATATGATGTGCTTATTTATAGCATATCCTATGATTTTCTTCAATTACTTTATTTAAAAAATTGCAACATTCTTCTTCATATCATATTCATGTTTTCAGTGTAATCTGATGTAGTCCCATTCTTTGAACAATAATAACTATATATTCATTTCCCGAGAGCGTCGGTTGCTTAAGGGTCAAGCACTTGAATTGCAGATCCTGGGTTCGAATCCCGCCATATACGTTTAACGATTTCTGATTTACATGTGTACATTTATCCGACGTTCTTCAACGAAAACATCGTGATGCAACTTGCTCATATCTGAGAAGAGATTCAAAGATATGTGGGAAGTCAACCAACCCGCACTTGGCCAGCGAGGTTGACTATGGCCTAGTCACCCCCTAACTTAGAGTAGGCTCCGAGCCCATTGGTGGGGACGTATAAGCTGATGATGATCATGATTCATTTCCCACTAAGTAACAAATATTGCAAACTGTCACAATAATTTAACTCACATTTAGCTATAATATATTTTAGAATATGAAGGAGGCTGTGAGGTAACTGGGTTAAATACCGAATGATATTTCATTGAAATGGTCATACCTTTTGAGCATGCGTTTCTCCTCTTCAGTATAAAAGGGCCAATCCTCGTTGACATCGTTCCATATGTGCCTACGCAGATGATAACAGTTGTCTTTGAGTGAGCCGATCTTGGGCAGGATCTTGTTGACCTCAGCGCGGTCCTTCTCCTTGATGCCTTCTGCAATATACCGACGGTTAGTCGCGGTAACAAGCTGTTACTGATGAGATATACCGAGAGACAACTTACCACTACTCAGCCTCGCGTATAACTCGGGTTTCTTGAATGGCTTCAGTGCTAATAATTGTATAAGTCTCTCACTGAAACAGATAAATATCTAGATTAAAGATAATACAATCATTCACACGTCTATTGTTGGTTCTAGTATATATAAAAGAAAAATTGGAATGACAAATTAGATTTAGATATGGGCTTGGATTCCTACTAATATTATAAATGTTTAGATGGATTGATGAATGTTTATAGAAATATATGTGGAAAGGAAAGTATATCGACTCAGAGGGTTTTTTTTGTGACTGAGTAGTCACTGTTTGCCTTGAGGAGGCATTTACAGCTTCACCGGGCTTGAGGTGGCCGAGCGCAGATAGCGCTTAGCCTGAACCTCGTTTAAGAGTAACAAGACTCGAAGGCTCCCCCTCAGGAGCTCCGGCTCGGGCTGTTACTTCATTATAGTTACCGGGTTGGGAGGTCACCGAGCTCTTAGATCGCTTAGGTGGACGCTCCATGGACTCAGGGGGTATTGTTGAAATTTTGCATAGATATAGAACATAGTCTGGAACAACAAATAGATTACTAATTAAGTTCTTTTTTAATACCGTTCGGAAGTCGCTGACAAAAACAAATATCTTCTAAATTCAGATACAATAAACTAGTTTTAAGCTTAACATAAAATGATGCGTCACATTAAAACGATTAGTAAGAAAACATTGTTGTATTGATGTAAACAACATGCGCTTGTATCAAGGTATTAATTGAATGTCACAATCGTCGGCGTGGCATTTAGAAGGCGAGTGATCATGAGTCGCTGCGGCGAGGTCGCGACAAAACCGCACACAAGTAAACAACTCAAGGCAATCGACGATTACCACTTTCCAATCTAAAATAAAAACTCTTCAATCCACTAGATCAATTATCAAAATGGGGGAGACTGAATTAATATAACTAAAAAAAACGTTAATAGCCACATTCAATTGAGACAATTTTGGCTAGAGACATAATTTATTACTTACGTCACAGACTTAATTTTTTGGATGATTGAAATTTGGATATTTTTGAACTTGATACAGATTAATCTTTAAATAAGGCTTATACTAATTTTTTATAAGCAAAAAAGTAATGAGATTGAATGTGGATGGCTACAAAGGTAGAGGAAGACCAAAAAAAGTATGGAATGACTGTGTGAAAGAGGATATACGTAGGAAGGGGGTAGATTCGGATATGATGGCTGATAGAAATGTATGGAGTAGTAGTACATACTGAGCCGGGATTGATGATGATGATTTTTTATGTATAATTGATTGACATACCGTGAGTTTCTGAGACCAAAAATTCTGTTTAAATATTGTCATCTCTGTGTCCTTCAAATCTAATGACAGGAATGACGGTATGACTTATTCAGAGATTTTGATGTCAGATGCTAACGGTCAAAGATTATTTTTAAGATAAAATGTGCATAATAATATATTAGTACCTAATTAAACATAACTTCGTATTTAAGAAACCTAATTTTGAATGTAAAAATTCGTACAAAAATTAATCGATAGTGAGCCCCTATTTGAAGCTATTATCTATATATATAAAGCCGGGTTAGTGACACTATTTATAACCCAAGAAAGGCTTTACCGATATGGCTGAAAATTGGTGATGAGGTAGTTTAGAGCAAGGAGACGGACATAGGATACTATTTATTATTATTTTTTTCGAATGCCTTGAAGAGCTGCTTTTTATTTAACTTACTAATATTATAAATGCGAATGTTTAGATGGATGGGTTGGCTACACTAAAGTTTTTTTTATATATCCACGCGGACGGAGTCGCAGGCGACAGCTAGTATAGTCATAAAAACAACCGCTCTATCTCACAAATAAACATTTGACATTCATTAACCGCGACAACCAAACTTCAATTATGTCAACCACAATTCACGATATGTTTTATTGCAATGTAACAAGATAAAGTTATTTATCAGCGCTGTGGTGTGTTGTGATAAAAATATACTTTCAAAGTATTTAATTTCGTTGTGGTCAGGAAAATCAATGAGAAATATATTTCATACTAGCTGTCGCCCCCGACTCCGTCCGCGAAGTATTAAAAAAAAACATAATTAGTCAATAAAATTCAAATTGACTCTACATTTTATTTAGAAAACGTTTTTATGGGAAAAACAAAATGACTGTTTTTACGGTTTTCCCGGTAGTTATTCGATTTTTTCTCACCTTTTAAACCTTCCCTAGACCTCTACGAACATTTGAAGACCAAGATAAGATAAATCCGTTCAGCCGTTCTCTAGTTTTAGCGAGACTAACGAAAAGCTATTGTTTTTATATGTATAGAATATATGTATAGAAGATATAAGATAATTATTTGTTTATTTTTACTGAGATGAGAAGGAAAGGTGAAGTTAGAAAGTATATATGGTATAGTTATATTTCGTAATTCAGGAAGTTCCTATCATAAAAAAATATAAGTTATGAGTCATCAGCTTTTATGGATTTTGCAATAAAATTGTGCAATAATGCGACATATTGATCAATATTATTATATATTATTATTATGAAACAAAATTACAGAGGGCCTAGCACGAAAATTTGCGTGAAAGTGGTCGAAAGTCATTGACAGAAAATTTTACATTTATACAGCACGGTATCGTGCGTAACGAAATATCTCATACAAATTTTGAGATTTTTTTTTCAATGAAGTTACGAAATCCCAATTCGCAAATGTTAGTGATCCCCCAAACATTACATAGCTGGATACATGTATGGGTAAATGAGAAAAGACGTCATACCGAATCTATCAACCTATAGCTTGGTGTTCAATTACGAAATAGAAGATTATGTGGGATTAGTAAGTACAATTCTTTAACTGTTAGTACAATATTTCTCAATCAATTAAGTAAACAAGGAAAATCCTTCGTTGCTTGTTACTGACCTAAACGATTCTAATGATACTATATTTTTTATTTTGCCATAAATAAGCTACGATAAAATACGATTTCCTTTCATTGAGCATTATTCTTCTACAAAATGTAGTATGGAAAATTACTTCTTTACTTCCATAATATATATAGTTCTTAGAATGATTAAGCTGTTATCTATGATTGCAAATACATTTTGACGTAATGATTAGGACAAGGTGAATACTATTGCTGGTGTAAATGATTAATACCGGCATCGTACTGCACACCTACACCTTCCCACGGCATTGAATCAGGAAAACAGACGCGCTGTCAATGTTGTTGAGATAAAATGGAACACTGCCAGTAACGATGCATACCGATTGCCTTGTGTCAAAACATTAGATTACACTTTATTGAGAATGCGCAAGGAATTGGTGAGAGTTTTACATCGACTAGGTTAAAAAAGTAACTGGTAAATTAGCCAAACAAAGTTTTTTACAACTTTAGCATACAAGGTTATGATGAATGTGGAGACTTACTTGATGGATCGTCGAGAAACGTCCGCGGCGGGCGGAGGACGTTGGTGGGGAGGTGGTGCGCCGCGGGGCACCGCCCGCTCTGGTCGTTCCGCCCGGTCAGGTCTCTCCGCTCGTTCCCGCTCGGCTCTCTCGGCGCGTTCTCTTTCTACTCGCTCCACGCGCTCTCTCTCTAACCGCTCGGCACGTTCTCTTTCCGCCCTTTCGGCTCTTTCTCTTTCCGCTCTCTCGACGCGTTCTCTCTCTGCACGCTCGACACGCTCCCTCTCTGCGCGCTCTACTCTTTCCCTCTCCGCTCTCTCCGCACGTTCCCGCTCCAACCGCTCGAGCCGCTCCTTCTCGGCGCGCTCGGCTCTCTCCGCCAGCTGCGCCGCCGCCGACCCATTCGAGTACGTCGTATGTGAGAGGCGTTTATTTATTCTACGTCCTATGTCCGTCTGGTTGGGTTTTATAACCCGAGTGCTGAAAGTGACAGATAGAAAAATGTTTTAACTTTATCAAACATACCAATATCACAATGGTGGTGATCATATCATCACATATTCAATATGTATTTGTGATTCTATATAAGGGAATATGACGTTGGTATAACAATATGGAATTTTAACTTACGTATAATAACAGTGAGCAATTTACTCTATAAGGTTAATGAAAATATTTTCCTTATAAATATAAGATTGTCGAAATAGTTTTGACGTACTTTTTATCATATTACTCGGTACATATTCCAGTAGAAACCATCATACTGACCACTTGCTCTGCTCGGCGGCGACTGTGCGCGCCATGCGGTCCTTCGTCGCCTCGTACGAATCGTCGTTGGCCAGGACGCGCATGCGACGCGGCAGCGGCCCGCAGCACTCCAACCTCCGCGCGCCGGCACCCCCTCGCACGCACTCGAACGACCCCTGAATATCATGCAACGCATACATTAAATCAAAATTACAATTACAACGTAAGAGATAGTGTACAATTAACTAATATCGTCGGAGAGAACTAACTACAGTCGTTCGGAAAAATTCAAAGATATGTGTGAAGTCAACCAACCCGCAGTGGGCTAGTGTGTTGGACTATGGCCTAGTCACTCCAAACTTAGTGTTAGCTTTCAGCTTCTCAGTGACGACGTTTAATTAGTTAATGATGTTCGGAGATCCACATATCTTCCACATCACGTTAGTATTTATAGTTAAAATAATATGACTATTTAAAAGATCTTGCAGTGATCAAAATCGGTTTGAAGTAAAAATAGATAGTTGAGTAAATTCAAATCAGTCGGGTAAAAAGTCATCGACTATCAATATTTCATGAGCTTAACATAAAAATAATATAAAACGTGACACTGAATTAAGCCACTAAAATATTAATATTATATTATATAATTTGATTGATAAAAGCAACGATATGACACGACGTTATCATGATAAAAATACGGGCCGGAGTACCAACTCACGGTGATTGAATTGCTTGTTGTACCTACGGCTAATCATTTTTTTTTACCTTTGCTACTATTAAGATTAGTACATAATTATATTCCTTAACAAATGTCGTTTATTTGATTAAACAGATGATGAAAATACTTCTAGAAGTTTCTTATTTGACCCATCTCTCAATATATTGATTGTATGTTAATTAAAACGATTTACCTTTATAGTATAAAATACTAACAACTACCAAATATTTCATTGTATTTAATCTACTTATTTACTATCGAAGATAGATTGTTTTATATTTCTATAGGCTGTCGCCCGCGACTCCGTCCTCGCGGGATTAAAAAAAACATAATTAGTAGCCTATGTGTTCATCCAGACTATATTCTATATGTATGCCAAATATCATCGAGATCCGTTCAGCCGTTCTGGAGATACCTTCAAACATTCATACGTCCATCCATCTAAACATTCCAATTTATAATATTAGTATGATATATTTTCATCTCCATTAACCACATGGAGAACTAGATACATTGAAGCAAGGACTGACTCTTATCATTTAATCTCTTCCGTTCGTTGTATACTCACGTAAAGATAATTTTCAAAACAAAAAAAAACTTGAATAATTTCTATACGCAAGCAATATTTCGAAGAACAATAAATTACGATTAAAAAAACCTAAACAAAAACATACGTTACAATTTCCTTGTTTATTATATTTCGACTCATTCGAGGAAGTAACTTTACGTACAATGTTTAAACTAAAATCATTTTTTACTGAATAAAAAATATACGATTGCCGATATCATAAGGCACTTGCTTGGCATACCTCAGTTCAAATTTATGAAAAGAGAAATGAGACATTTATCCCTTAACACTAAGAAAACACAAAACAGACAGGACATTGTTGAATTCTTTCAGAATGCTAAACAATGGCACGATATTTGTTGACATTACATGATAAAGATAAGTCTCGTGAGCTCTATAAATTAAATGAGAACCTACTACGAATATTTGCGACACGCGATTTCGTAACGTCATCGAAATCAACGTTGCACTGTACAAATTTTAATTTGTTTTAAAATTAGTACAGTGCAATTGTCGATGTCGTTTCGAAAATGTTCTCACGAAGATTCGTGCATCACTCTCTGTGTCAAATAATTAAATTACCTTCTCACTTAGGACCTAATACTGTTCATCGACAGTAACCATAATAGCTATAATTTAACACGGATATTTCTATGACATTTCTTCAACATAGGTAGGAAATATACTCGACCAACAACGCAGTATATATTCATGTCGACTACAGTACAGTTGGTGAAAGATATATGCTCACTAGATCCATCTATATGGCCTCCCTGCGGGGGAGACATCTAAAAATAACACATGACAATCACTAGAAACCGCTGATCACCCTATTAGGGTGACAAGGTTTTATTTAAATAATTCAGATAATATAACAGTCCACGAAAAAGGAATTTGTATAATACATTTTTAATTATAATTTAAATGCGAAAACGATGGACTAATTAAATTGCTATTTACATATTTTGAAAACATATTTCGATAACCCATTTCCTAATAATACCAACACTTTAGTACTTTATATAAATTCTAAGAGTTGGTATAATATTTATATTTTTTATCAGGTGAGTAAAGTTTTTCGCTGGTACGTAAATATGTTTCTTACATATTAATTTGTCGGTTTCATTATAACCTGTAGCCTCAACAACTAAACCGATTTCAAAATGTGAGATGTCATTCGTATCGCAATCTTCGTAAGAATGTTTTAGGTAAATGGACCTCATACAAAACATACCTGCGGGCCCTCCATTTCTGCATTGCTGTTGATGCTAAAGTGAAATGTTGACTCGCTTGACGTGCCATTGGTCGGGACCGGAATCGATATTTTCTGAAATAGGAAAAATAACACTGTTAATAATTTAATTTGAATAAATATTAACACATTGACAAATATATTTGTAAATAAGAAGTGGGTACGGAATTATTCTGTCAAGTCACGTCTATCTAGTTCAAATCAAAAGATATTGTCATCAATACTATTAAAATAATCTATGCAACATTATGTTACGTATAGATGGGAACAAATCGAGTAATACACTTCTATAAGTGTTCCAGGCTTATATAACACTTAAACAATAATTAAGTAACAATTAAACAAGGTTTCCGCGCTGAAAAGATAAATTTGATTACCTGATAATCGTTAAATTTTCACGTGTTTACAATTTCACTGAATTCCAACAAGGTCTTACGCCAAGGCTAGTATTGATATCCAAACGGTGTCCCATTTAATGTGCGTCATAGGAAGGCAATTAGTGATGTGCCGACTTTCATCGCTTGGAATGGCAACGCCGCGGCCGCGAGCCACCGCGCTCGTTTTACCGTTTCACCAGCGAGTAATACACGCGCGAATATAAATGAAACAACGATCTATAATTAGCTGCTACTATATTACCGAAAAACTTTTAAACAAGTAAAACATATCCAGTCATCAATACTATGTATATTCTAAGTGCCAGATAAAGAGCAAACTTATATAAAAAAGGCTAAACACTTACGTATCATCGGGGGCCCTTCATCAGAGTTAGTGGGACTGGGCTGGGCTCTAAACTAGTCGGTGCCGCCACCGGACGAATATACGTGAGTGTTTAGCCGTTTTTATATAAGTTTATAATGTCTCACGTAAGTTTGAATTATTTAACAGATTGATAGCAATTCAACTGCCGTAATCGCAGTTGTTTAGTGGTCCTTTGTGTACACTAAACCAGTCCCTCAGTAACCAATAACGATTTTGAATAACAGTTAAGCTTTCCAACATCTTAGACAATTTAAATGATTGATTATTATCAAAAACAAAGATTTACTGATGTCTCACTGTTACTTTTATCATCAAAGTATCAATATTCAGGTGTTTTCTTACTCCGCTATGACATCTCACATAACTAGTAATTGTGTCATCGCTTACTTTCGCTGGCCTCAAAACACGTTAACGGTGAGATGTTATTTTACGGTATTCTTTTATGGCGTCCTCCTCCCGTCGACATACGTTATTCTTCAAATCTTTACATATTAATAAAATTGAAATGTTGTATGTAAATTAAAAAAAAAACTTATTTCGTACACGTGATGCGTTGCCTGATAGTGACAAAACAATTCATTAATTTTTTTGTCTGTAAGTGTGTCGGACTGTCCGCCTGTCCGCGATCGTTTCGTTAATCTCCGGAACTGTAAGACATTGACGAGAAGGTAGCTGATGAACGCGGGCAAATACTTTTTTAATTCTGCGCTAATGAAGTCGCGGGCGATAGTGTTCAATAATTGGATTAATAGATGTTAAAGATACTTCACATTATCAAGACATTAGAACAGCGTTAGTAATATGGGAGTTGGTCTAATCGGGGAAAGATAGTGTGTTTAGATAAGGTGTGTATCGCAATCGCATTCGCAGTACGCCTACTTATGACGTATTCACACGCATGGCCCCGGGCCGTTGTAAGGTCGTGGCTGACGTGTGCCAGTACAATGCTAGCCAGTTAACCTATTAAAAAGTATCTCAAATCTCAATAGTGTAACAATATAACCTTTCTTATAACAATATTACTTGAATATGTCAACGTCAAATGTTATTCGACTATGTACTAAAAATTTACATTTTCGCTTATCTCAGATGATTTATAATTTACTACTGATTATTTATATTTATAATTACCAATTTATCGGTATTGATATCGGACTGTGGAAAATTGGTATATAAAGAGATTACATTAAAGAATATTTAACTAAAATATTCCGAAATGTCAAACGTCATTATAGATAAGAAATTTTTATTATCTTAGTACGTTCTACACCAATGGCCGTCATAGAAAAACACTGTCAAGACAGTATTCTAGTATTAAATTGTCTCTTTATGTTTAGTTTTTGCAAATTTATCGACTCGGTATAAATGCATGTGTGAATAATAATCGTGATTGTCCGATAGGACCCGCATCTTGACTGATGAACTCAAGGTGGTACATTATCTGTTATACGTCGTCGTATGCAATTATGGTAGTGACGAGGAAAAAACCCGCCAGTGGGCGAGCGAGGGGCAGGCGGGGGGCGCGCGCGCCGCGGCTTTCTCTGCGCGGCGGCCGGCCGCAGCGGCTGGTATAAAGAGCGCGTCGCGGCAGAATGCTTCGGCACTCGGTGAACAGCCGTCTTGCCCGCTATATTTGTACGCTCATGCTCTCATCCGTCGCCCATTTGTTAATTGTACAATCAAAAATTCTTTTTCAGGATTATCCGAAAACAGCAATGCTCGTAATTAGATCGTAAGCCAATTGTTGATGTCACAAGTGCAATGGAATCCATATAAATATTATGGCAAGGTCGTTTAGTTTCAACGCTTGTCTTCTTACGAAGGCCGTGTGTTTATTCGATCGCTACATCCGGAAAATATAAGGAAATCGCTACTTTGTTATTTTGTCTAGTTACGCGTTGAATATTTCTGTACAAATTGTCAGGATTTTGTTTGTTTTTGTAGTAGTCAATTGATAAGCGAGAGTAATTCGCGGGCCAGTACGCGTTTAAATATATTTAGTCGCTACCGTGGCACCAGCTAGCGCCGTGGATTTCATTATTCGGTTCGGAACGTCGATCGTCACAATCGCCGCGCCGTCGGTTACCTAATTTTACCTACACAAACGAAGTCGGCGAACGGTATACATATTGCTGTTGCAAAGTGAGAGGCCGCCGCGACCGGTTTCCTTCACCCGGTCGAGATAATAGTACACAGTCGCTAATTATACAAAAATGGCTCGTATTTCACTTATAAATAAGGATCGTACGGTGTGTTAATAAAGAACAATAAAATCTGTTGAGTAATTTCAAGAAATGTAATGATTTCGAGCGCGACAAACCCGGACACAGAACAGGCAGTCGAGCAGCCGGCTCGGCCAGTTAACGTGCTGTATTTCATTGACGTAACATTGCGGAGGTGGGCCGGAGCGCGAACGGTGTAACATCGACTTTAATCCATTGCAATAGAGGCGATACGCGATATACGTACGTCAGCAGTGAACGATGATAATAAATAGTTCACTACACAACACGAATCATAGCGGGAATTCCACGCAGTCGAGCTGTGATCGACAATAATAATTGCTTACCGCGACTCTTTTATCTAATATCAATATATTAGATACTTGTTTACTTAAAGTACTTTATGAGTAGGTTTGTTTGCACAAATAACTTGTTGATAGCATAAAAGAATTAAATTAATAGAGTAATGCGTTGTAGTATTTCGAAGTAGAGCAAATTGTTCAATTAGGCAACAATTTTAACATCAACTATAACAAGTTGTAGCAATGGTCGAGCGATTGTTACAAATTGTAAAAGAAAACGTAGCAAGGTCAGTTTGATTGCTTAGATTTTTTTAGGTCGCGAGCGCAACAAAAAAAAAGAAACTAGCCTCATTAAACTGAATATCTAAAGAGAATGATTCTAGTAAAAACTAGATATTTCTTTGTTTTGAGAAAGTGATAGTGGGTAAAGTTAAATGAATGTTATGCGATTGTTTAAAAACAATCTGATAAAGTGTACAATGCTGTTCAACTTTATTTCTGATTGTGAAAAAAACGTTTACATTAAAATGACTATACAGCGGGAGTGAATTTAGCAATTGTACCGTAAAAGAAATTGTTGCAACACAATCGACTTTATCGCCGGACACTTTCATCGCTCGTACGTCCGTACAGTCGGTCAGGTATTCGTGAGGTTTCTACCACTTATTTGCATATTCATCGTCGACTTTCTAATGGACGATGCGATTCGTTGTCGCAACCGTCAACATTGTGAGGTAACACAACGTTAATTAAACTCACCTGCGAATATTCGACACAGAGCAGTGAGATTTTCACAAGCGCTGTGGTTATTATTAGGCTACGACTCAATCGGAAATACTTCTACTGGAATAATTTTAGAATTGAAGATACACGTATGTATGTAGGTGTAAAATTACTGATTTATCGTAAATTTACGTTATATTTTCCAACCATAGAATACACGGTTAATGAACCTCAAGCTAATTGTTTTCAGTTCGTTCGTTGATTAGATTTGTGACATTCAATCGTTTGCACGTGCGTTGGACATGTTGGCTTCCGCTGATAACGATACTTGATAATCAACCTGTAGATTATTCGCGAAATTTAAAGAAGCATATCAATTAACAATCATACAAAACGAACATTATTATGCTAAAATTTCCTAAACTAATTGAACATATTTTAATATATTGAAAAATCTTTCGATCTATAACCATGGCAAACAAATTTAGTAGGCCACTCGGTGACTCGGCTTTTACATTTGAAACGTCAGTTCTAGAATCTATTCTAGTAAAGTTAAATAGTCTTAATTAAACATTACAAGTCGTATTGAAGCTAAATAAAGATGTTTAGTTAAAATTCGGTATACGTGAGTTAGGCCATGCTATTGGTTGTCTCCTTCACAGTCAGTGGGGCGGTCGACCTCCGATGGAGGGGGGCTGGAGGGGGAACCTCTCACCGGCGACGTGACGGCGGCCTCACGCGGCGAGGCTGCACAAAACTACGTACGTAACTAACCTCTCCAGCGATTATTACTCAACGCTCGATACGCCTTCCCTCTATACTTTCACCCCGGCTTAATGCCATTATTTTATTTTAACACACTTTATAAACAAAACAGCTAAATCCGGAATACGTCGCAACACATGTAAAGTAAGAAAAAATAACTAAGTCGATCTACCTTATATCAATGCCTAGCAAAAACTTCAATCATAATCTTTTGAATTATCGAACCCACAATTAGTTACCTTAGCAAGAAGGAAAGAAATAAAAAAACATTCGCTTACACATAATAAATAGCAAAAAATAC